AGACTAGTATATGATAGTATATGTATAATATTATATTCTCTTGAAGAGGATATTTTGGATCTTATGGGACTATGCCTGGTTAAATTAAATTAAAATATGTAAATATATATATAGCCTATATAACAATAGTAGAAATATGACTTATAAAAATAACAATAGCAGTTGGCGTCAAGCAATACCATTGCAGCAGACGCAACCATGATCCTGGGGAACCTGTGTGCCAAGAAAGCACTAAGAGTCCAGGTGACTTAGTGAGTCAGACATGCCAAGGGTTGCAGCTTATTTTAGAGCAGATAAAAACAGCTTTTTCCATCCTTTACTCTTTTTGTTGTATTTTTTTATTAAAAAAGGCTGCAAAAAAGACACAACCCTTCATATTATTTCTATATACAGTATTATTCTTATCACTTAGATCTGATCACCTTAGCATAATTTTCAGACAGTCGCTGTTCAGGGGAGGTATTTTAAATTTTGTATTTAGATCTGTCTAAGTGTTTTAATACACTGAAAGAAGGAAGGCCTTTCTCTTATGCTTTCTGCTTCTGGCCAATTTACTAGTTATAATAATAAATCCAATGTCCTTCGGTCTTAAATGTATCATGGTCTTCTACAATGCCACAAGATCAAATAAAGATAGATATTTTGGGGAAATCCAATCATCGCAGCAATAAGGCATTACAGTGAACTTGTGTTTTGCATTAATGAGCTGTCGGCTGCAGCTGTTATTGAAGCACAGTCCAGTGTTGCCAGATCAGTTTAATGTTTCCCATCCCAGTAACTGCTCAAAATCTGCACAAATTAATAAAAAGCCCAAATATTATCTATAATAAATAATATGATTGAATTCATAGCAAAATACTGTGGTTCATATCCATTTTTAAATTGACATAATAACATAAACTATTTAGTTAAAGAGAATAGTACACATGATCCCATGCTATCCAAAGGCCAAACAAATAATGATGTAATGTTGCAAGCATAGGCCACAAGCTTTCTGTTACAATGAAAACACAGAATTGCAAAAACACTCCAGCTTGTGTGTTCATAGGGTCATAAGGTAAGCTGCAGGTGAGTGATGGTATCTCATATCTCCTCTCAGCAGGGTGAATAAAAATGTTGTCATATGAAAATTGTGCTAGGTGACTGGATGTGTTTGCATAACTAAAGAATACAATTTATAAAAGTTTTTAAAATATACTGTAATGTTTTAATGTATTTAAAAACAGTCCAAATCCTTTCTAATTGCCTAAACCCATTTTACTGTGCACAACACAACCCAGAACCACCCAGCTGGGTAGAAAACTGTCCAATCTGGCAGCACTGGCACAGAAGGTTAATCAAATTGGGCTGAAATCATATGGGTGTCATTAGTGAGACTACACAGTGCCTGTGAGTAGGAAGTGTGTGGTTTGCTGCACAACAGCAGACAGTCTAAATGTGAAACTTCAAGTTTGCAAGATAAATTGTGATTACTATCACTATGTGATTAATTGTGCAGCCTAACTTGACTTGAACCTTTTAGAGTGACCTCACCAGGAAACATGTGACATAAAATTACTTGTTCACCTGACAGGGACCTCTTGTGGTGAATAATGTTTCTTCCGTCACAGTAAAAATCAGATTCTGACAGATCTGACATCAGAACCTGTGATTTGTCTCCTGTCTCCCACCAGTAGTCATGGTTTCTTTCAACCATAGCCCCTGATCATTCTTTGACCTAACCTGAGTCATTTACAAGTGTAGAATGTGTTGTCAAGGGTCAAAACAGGGAGTCGCCTACCCAAAGTGGAGTAGCGGGCAGCAGCACAAGTCAGCCTGGCACTGGAGAGAGGCACTCATCCATCTCCACCCAAAAGAAAAATATAGAAACTCACTTTGAGTAACTGTGGAAAGCAGGTTACCATCATAGAGCATGTAAACGCTACATGGAGTATCTTGATAATAGTATGACTGCAGCTGCCAGATTATGCTGGTATAACTGGAACTAAGAGACTGGAAATGAGACACCTGCAAAGTCACATGAATCTGAGAGTGACAGACAAAGCTGCAAAAAGTTGAGGATACATGAAGCACTGCAGAAAACAATATAACTAACCCCCAGCTAAATAAGTGGTTTCATGAGCACAAGCCTCCCGTCCATGAGTAGTAGCTGGAGCCTATCCCAGCTGACACTGGGCGAGAGGCAGCACCCTGGACCGGTCACCAGACTATTACAGGCCTGACACCTAGACAGACAACCATTCACACTCACAGTCACACCTATGGCCAATTTGGAGTCACCAATGTCTTTGGACTGTGGGTAGAAGCCGGAGTGCCTGGAGAAAACCCACGCTGACACAGGGAGAACATGCAAACTCAGCACAGAAGGGCTCCCCCACCCCTGCTTTGAACCCCCCAACCTGGGTTTGAACCAGAATCCCTCTTGCTGTGAGGCATCAATGCTAATTACTGTACCACTGTGCGAAAATATATTTTTTTGATTTTGGAGTGACCTCTCTCTTTAAAACTGCACGAGTCAATATTTTTGCAATCTGGAAAAAAAAAAAATAAAAATAAAGTTTCTTCCTTTACCTCTGGCACTGCCCGGTAGTTTTTCGACTAACAGAAGTGCAGGGGCCTTAGGGGATCGCTCACCCCCTTCACTTCCGGCGGTGCCCCCAGTGTTACACTCCTACCTGCAATTCGAACCAAATGGCGGTAGACAACATGGATCTTTCAGAAGAGCAGTTCGACAACATTTTCGCGGAAGTTGCAACTCTACTTAAAGTTGCAAATTTAAAACCTCTGCAGCGCCTTTGTTTAAGGTATTTATTAGAGGAACACAATGTTTTGGCATGTCTGCCAACTGGCTTTAGGAAAAGCTTGATTTATCAAGCTTGGCCAACTGCATGCTCGCTGTTAGCAAATATATACCCCGAAAAATGGCCCGAGGACGCTACTGTTTTGGTCATCATAACATTAAATTTAATGTTAACGGGATAACGTTAGAGTTGGGTAATATTATAAGGTGAATTACCGTTAACCAACGATGAAGTTAACTTAAGTGTTAAGACTTACCATTTCGAACTGCAGACATGTCTTGACTGGACTTCTTTCGGAGTATAAAAACGTTGCCGCTAATGCCCTTTTTTTCCTGTCGTGAGGCGTGGAAGGTGTGCTGGTGGATGCACAACGCTTGTAGGTTGCGCTGTTGTTCATGTTTTTCACGTTGACAAGACGGCGTTTTGGGTGGAGCGGTCGCTATGGACGCGGAGCTTGCTGTTTCTGTAGGTACACATTTCCTGGTGACACCTGCATGTCTCGGCCCTGCCCCTTCCATTGTGACTGGCTAAAGCGCAGCATCATTCAACCTCAAAGCCCCCCACCCCTTCTGTAGTCATCTTTCACACAGGGCTGCCGACAGATTCTACAATGTAAATTGCAGAATCTGTCTTGAGAGATTAATATTTTTGTGAAACAATGGATCAAATGATTATGTGTAATGGGAAAGTGGTTACTTGTAGTGGCAAATCCACAGAGGGTAATGAGGGCCTGCAACTTTACTGTTTCTCCCTACTATCCTTTTTTTTTCCTTTAAGATATTTTTATGGGCATTTTTTGCCTTTAATTGATAGGATAGAGAAGTGTGAGGGGGAGAGAGAGCAGGAGAGACATGCAGCAAAGGGCCACAGGCTGGAGTCGAACCCGGACCGTTGCGGCAACAGCCTTGTACATGGGGCGCCTGCTCTACCACTAAGCCACCAATGTCCCCCCTACTATCCATCCTTGCCTCCAGCAGCAGCTGTTAAAGTGAAAAAGCTTTGATGAAACCCACAGTATGCTACCTGACGAGCATCAGCAGCAATGTTATGATCGCAACAGCTGATGCCAATTCAGCAGTGAATTCTGCACAACCCTAAAATTGTGTCCAGTCATTGCAACTTTACTGCATATTTGACTATTTGAAACGGATAAAATCTCAGTAGAGCTGTTGAGACAATGTTGAGCTAGTTCAGTGTTGGTGTGAGATTGTTGGGACTGTTTAACAGCTCAGTGTTGGATGTTAGCTGCTACTGCTGTGTTAGCTTGTGCTAACCAGGCAGAGAGAGCAGGAGGAGAGCAGCTCATGAAGATGGTCCTTCAGCGCTGCTTCAAACACAAACAGATTCTTATTTTGAAGAATGAGTGATGTTTATAATGGTGGGCTACGAACCCAAGACGGCATTGCAGTTGTGCTTGCAATTCTCCTTTGCTCCCACAATTTAATTGTAAACACACCTAAAAATATTGCAACATGCATCACAATTATTTAGAAAAGCTGCCGTGATGTCACACATTTCAAGCCAAAACAATGACGAAAATAGTCTGCAAAATATTAGTAGTAGTAGGTGAACATAAGGAAGCTTTTAGCAGTTCAGGAAGCCAGATATTTCCCCTAAGGAGTCAATGAATGCAGAGGTAAAAATAGGGCATATATTGGACTTACATTTGTTGGGTGTGCAAAAACACCCAAAGACAATGTTGCCACATGTCTCCTGGATATGTAAACAGGCAGCTGCCAAATATTTTCCATTGACAAACACGTTGCTTGTGACACTAGCTGGTCTGGAAAAAAACAGAGAGAAAGAAAAATCTGTCTTTCGATGAGTGCAGCTACAGTACTACAGTTGGTGATTTGGAAAAATCCAAAGAACATCATCAAACATACACCCACACACACAGACACGTGGACGTTATGCTTTTTGGCTTCTCAGCCCCCATGGGGTCTTATCTCTGTGCTGGCCTCATTGAAGGTGCGTGTGTTGTCAGAACTCTTCATAGGTCTTTCAATCACAGCGGTCTGATGTGAAAGCTCACAGCACAGGTGTGAGGTGGGAAAAAAGGCCTGAGGGGGGATCTGTGTGTGTGTTTATATCTACCTGCCTCATTCAATCTCTCTCTGAAACATTTGCTTGTATTTCACACTTCCCAGAAATCAATCCATGCTATATATATATAGAAATATTTATCGATAACATCTGAATGGACAGTTTACACAGCCTGCCTTAAGTTCATAATACATCTTGTGTTTACAATTTGGTTAGTATCTCACAACAGAAGAGATTTAAAAATGACTCACAGAAAAATGATGCATGCACTGTACCTTAAAACACAGAGGAAATTGTCATTGTTATCTGTGACAGTGTCCAATACAAAGACATAAACAATACTGGTATTAATCTCAGTTTTGAAAAAAACAAACACTGACTTATCAAAACAACAGCAGGGTGTGGTCTAAATGGATAACATTAAGTCCCATTACAGTTGGATCGGGCTGCTGCAAGTTTTTTTCAGAATGGAAACAATTCAGTCACTTATTTCATGGCAAAGGAAAGACTAATCCCTACTGACAACATGATTCTGAGTGATCATTGTCATTATTTGTTGGATTTACAATGGCAAAGCCCCCCATCACAAAGGCAAAAATATTTACCCACTGGTTTGATAAAGTAAACCATAAAACAAGGCTTTTTAAAGAGTGTACACCCGCATCTGGAACCATAAGAGAATATTGTTGTTTTTACATTTTTGTCTCACTGTCTTGGATTTGTCCATCATTTCTATCAGCCACTATCACATTGTATTTACTTGCTGAGATCTGGGTACATGTCACCATTGTTAGGATGTCAGGTTGGGCAAAAATAATGTGCAGTCAGATTGGTCAACAGTTTATCCAGAATATCTAAACCACTTGATTCTGAGGTCAAAGCTCCTGAAGAAAGTGCATGATAAAAATTGGTAACAGTACCACATTCCACATGAAAATTACGCACAACTGAGTCAAGTACAGTAGGGGCAAAGTTAAACCAGGAAGTAAGTCTGTAAACTGTTTACAGCAGACAGTTCAGGTAACACATTGGGTTCATCTTTTCTTTCCAAGCCCCCAAGGACCCTACAGCTCTTCTTATGCCCTTTTTGCACCAAAATTAATGTGTATAGCGCATATATGTGTTTTTTTATAATGTGAGAAACCCTGATAAAAATAGGCGATAGACTCCTTTCCCGGTGCCAGTAGACCAGAGGGGTGTAAACAGCTCTGCATTAGAGGAGTATGCCTCTGCTTTTTTACTGGTGTGCCACGTCCTGTGCCATGAACACCCCAATAAACAGGGTTAGTAAACAATAGAAAGCAGCATGGAGGCCAGTGAAAATGATAAGGTGGTTACTCTTTTGTTACTTATTCAGTCTCTCTTTAAATCTTGGTGCAAACTTTGAAACTGAGTTTGGCCGCTACTTTGACTGAGATTGGCAGCATTTAGTGGTAGCGTGTCATTGAATCACACCAGATGAGGGGCAAAGATTAGCACGTCCACACGAGTGTAGTATTTCCATCACTGCCAATCTGAGCCTGTGACTACTGCTAAGTTATTTGTCCCGGGTAGAAATAGCAGTTGTAACCTTTCCCACTAAAGACATAAGCCAGATGTTAGTGGGTGTTAGTGGGGCCAGAAATTCCCTCAAGAGTTGGTGGAGACCAAAAATTGAACTAAGGAGTGCACCTGCTTTTGTCTGTCCCACTCACAGAATACAGTATGGTCAGACAGTTGAGAACAATAACAACTCTCTCTCCAGCTGAAAACGATAACAACCAGACTGTTGCCTCGGGAGCAACATGATCTAACAGAATTACAAGAAATGACCACAACTTCTTGGCGTGGCATTATGTGGTGGTGGCACAATTCGGTTTAGGCACAAAAACTACTTTGGTTAGGTTTAGAAAAAGAGTATGTTTTTGGTTAAAATAAGTGTTTGTTATGTATGTATGTCATAATGTGACGTCAGTACATCATGTAGCGAGAAGAATGTAAGTATGTTAAGTTAGAAGAAGTCAACGTTGACTTATTGTTTTTACACAGGACACAAACAGTGGTCTCCTTGGTGAAAGTCCTGCTTTGTTTGACCCATCCACCTCCTGGACCTCCTCCTTACTCTGACTTTTTCCACTCTTTTCACTATCTATGGGGTCGTAGCATTAACCACCGCTCACTGCATGACGCCGTTGAACTAGGGAATTCTTGTGTCCACCACAACAAAGGATCCTGATTGACTTTCCATTGGCACTGTTTCTTTGGTGCCAGCATGTCAACACATTATGTGCCGCCACCACCATGTTAAGTAATGAAAGCTGTTATGAGATTGTGGTCATTTCATGTATTTCTGTGAGACCAGACTGCGTTTTGTGTGTGCGCCACACAGTGTGCCAAAACTGTGCAGTTCTCTCTTTGCTTTTATATAAGTGTGCTTATAGGCTGCATTCACTGTTGAGTTTATGTTTTTATAATATCTGTATTGTCAGTCTTAGTGATGCTTTATTCTGCTGTTCATTTCATTAGAAGTGTTAGGCTGTTTAATATCTGTAACTTGTTTAATTGCTTGAGTTTTGCCCTCTTTTCTGGTTAATGCTAGTGAAGCTAAACGAGAGAAGGCAGTTGTTTTTGTTGTCTATTGAAAATCACTTGTATGCTTAGGCTGCAAATGTCTGACTACAGAAAATGAATTTATTGTTGGTGCGGACATGAGAGCTCTGTGGTGTTGAGACGGTGTGTTGTTTCACTAGTGGGTACTCTGACATGTTAATACATTTTATTTTGTAGCCTAAAGGTGTTTTTTAATTTTTTGTGTTTGTTGGTGTTATATCTTATATGGGTCATCATATATATACATTACATCATATATAATACTCAAGTTTTAAAAAAAACAGAATAATCCTTCAACTCAGAAGCCAAGAATATCACTGAGAATCATTAGCAGTCGTACTCAGAGATTATGCCCTTTTGCCAGAAAAACATGCCACTTTCTTTGGCACCCCCAACACCTGTGTTTTCTTTATTTTGACCACACCCTGTTAACAGAGTATGACGATTTAACATGCAGTAAATAAAACACTGTCTGATTCCTCTTTCAGCTGCTTTACACATTCTTGGAGCAAATTCTCTTCGGTTTACATCTCTGCAGGAAATGTCCTGTGAGAAAGTCGCCCATAAAGGTAAAACTAAGGCTTACACAAAGAAAATCTCCTTTGTCTATGTCTGCTATGGCTGCCACAGAGTCTAGGCAGCACTTTACCAATGCAAGAGTAGTTTGACTGTTCGACACAACAGCAAAACAAAAGAGCTGATTCAACTCTGTTGATTTGAACAGGAATGCCCTCTCTGTTGTTTCTAATTCTGTAACCTCAAATGTTTAACTCTTACTGTGTCTATGATAGCCTATCACTCACACAAATCACAAGTTACAGCTTCACACATTGGCCTAAAAATTAATTATTTTGGTCCACAAACTGCAATTTGTTAAAAAAGCTTGACCTGTTAGATAATCTCAACCTGTTAATACTGTCAGTAACAACTCAAAATGACAAATGAAAGTACTGTAGTAATTCAGTTGGAATGTAGTTAAGTGATTTTTTTGGTTGTGAAGACACAAGGGGAGGAAAGAAGTGGGCATTAGCTTTTGCAGCAGTCTTAGCACACTCAGTCTAATGACACACCAGTTTAATGGCTTTTAGCTGATGTTTCTACTGTAGTCACTTGTTAGTCAAACCTTGTACTGCATTTTTAAACATTTCAATAGGACTATCTGCATGTCCATCATCTATCGGTCTACCACCCTGAGGCTCTGTGTGTGTGTCTGTGTTTGTGTGAGTGTAGGTTGGGGTGTCTGTGTGGTCATGGCGATGGTGGTGTCTTCAGGGAATTGGTGGATCCTCCTTGGCTTCCACTCCCCGTCGCTCCCTGTCCAACCCACTGGACCACAACAGAAAAAGAGGAGGAAAGAGGGAGACAGAGAATACGATCAGGTTAGATGTAAACAGAAGCAAAACAAAACTAAAGGTTTATTTGGTTTTGAATCAATTTTTTATTTACATTGTATATATAAATAATTGTCTTATAATGAGAATCGATCTCTTCAGTTAATGGCACAACAAAATCACGCACCTCATGGAGGACTTACTAAACATAAATTGTTTACCAGGGCACTATCTATGGTCAGCTCTGTGAGGGGCCTGGCAGGGCCGTGTAAAGCTGGCAGGACAAGAAGAGTTTGAGGCTTTTCACTGCATCATCCATCAAGAGCACTTGGTTCCTGAAAAGCTGGTTTAGACCACATTTTGACGAAAGTGCTGGAGAGTGTCAATTTTATGTGAATGCAGGCTTGTGTGACACTTTAAAGATCTCATCGCGGAACTCCAATGTTAGAAGCAGTGAAAATGCTCTTGGAAAGGGAGTCAAGGACTATATTGAGCTCCTTGATATGCAGTGGATTTTAGATGTAATTTTTGAGAGACAAACAAACTTAAGCACTTAAGAAAATATCTTCAAATATCTTTTTGCTATGTGTGCAATACAAGTAGACAAGTAGCTGATATGCTAAAAGTAAAGGCCATGATTTGAAAACTGTGGCAAAATGCAAGGTTAAATACATGTATGTTTTTTTTTTCCTTACACAATGTCTACACAGGTTATGTAGTGAAAGCACTGTATTGAGTATAGCTTATCAAATACATGGGATGTGCTCAGACACAGTTTTGAGTGTAGGTCACCTGCATTTTGGCAGCGCTCAGAGCCCAACACACAAACACTCTGGTTACATGCATAAAACTGAAGAAAATAGACTTGAAGTATCAAAAGATGTTTGTATTTTTTGCTCAGACATACCATGAATGTGCTCTGTAATTTCATTGGAAAGACCCTGATATTTTTTGCATGGCACTTATCATGGCACTTGAGGAAACGGTCAAGATGGGCATCCAAAACATAAGAATTCATAATCTTGAGACACAATCATGTATTTAATATTGACAAGCATTGATCAAGTGATTATTTTTACATTATGGTGGTGCTAGGGGAAAAAAGTTAGGGTGTCACAAAACCATAGGAATAATCCTTGAGTGATCATGAATACCGATACCAAATTTAATGCAGATCTGGAGAGTTGTTTAGAAGATGTGGCCAAAGTGGTGGGCAACCACTTTAATAACTGACTCACCAACCTTCATCACCATCGTTAAAATCTAAATCATGTTCCAGAGTGAAATCAAAATGAACCTGGTTCGGACCTAGAAGAATATTCAAACTCAAAGTGAATATGTATGAGCAGCTTACTGTGACTGAAGATGGGTAAACCTGTCAGAGCAATTACACACATGGTCCAGGTGTCATGTCAGCCATTTAGAATTTCTCTAAACAGATCACTGTCAAAGCAAAAACTGGCAGCTTGCTGCACTGACTGTACACAAATGTATTCACAGTACAGTATATAAGCTTAAGTCAGCAGATCAGCAGGCCTGATGCACTGCCAGGCCAACAGGAGCCCACGCCAGGCCAAAAAACACAAAAAAACACCAAATGTCTGTTCTAGTCTTTCCCTTATATTTATTTTGCAGTGTCGCACTTTCATGAGCTGCAGCGTTGTGCCATTGTGAGTCCCTGAATGAAGCTCAGCATTTTGTACAGTACAGCTGTGGCTTAGTCAGCAATACATGATCTTCTGATTATGGATAATTCTGCCACCTACATGAACTGTTTGTAGCTGAATAGGGTAGGCCTGCTGTATTTTAATGTTTGTCATAGTGGTGGTACTTAGAGAGCCTAATATTCTCTGAGGTGGTACGCGATGTAAAAAGTTTGAGAACCACTGCCCTACAATGTTAGTTTTGTCAGGACGACTTGTTTTTGGTCAACAGTTTCCTGTCAGTGCAAATTCGTGGGGCAAAGTTGTGGCATGAGAAATTAAATCATTAATTTCACAGTTAAATTTGAGGTTGATTGAGCATGTTTCCATGGTGATTATGTTTTAGCTTTAGTCAGCCCTGTGAGACTGAAGAGACAGGGATATGAGCTCAAAGTTGACTTGCAAACACTAATCTTGCATCATGAGAGTGGCCCCTTGCAGTATGCCGGCTTTCTGTTATTCAACCAAACGTTTATGTGACAAAGTGGAGGCAACTGAGCTTTCTGCTTTCTTCATTTCTTTTGCTTTCTGCTCAATAGCATCAGAACTGGTTTGAAATGACTCTTGGGAATTCAAGAGCGTTTTGTTGTTGGTTGTCTTGGTCTTGTGTGTGTGTGTGTGTGTGTGTGTGTGTGTTTACAGTCTTGGCTGAAGAGATGAAATTGGTGAATTGATAACACTCTTAGACTGTGGCCAGAGGGCCAGTGAGGCTAACTCCAATACTTCAGAAAAGACATAAAAGCCTAAAGTGGATAAGAAAACTGAGTGTGCATGAGTACATGTGTGTGTTTCAGGAAGAGAGAACGATAGAAAGAGTAGAGTGTATGTGTGCACACGACGCAAATGTTGCATGTGTTTATGATTATTTGTTGAAATTACTGAAATTAGCTTTTATGTGTGAATACTTAATGTGTGCATATATCACTATACATGATATACCTTAGATACCTATGTGTGCATAAGTGTGTGTATGTGTGTGTGTGTGTGTGTGTGTGTGTGTGTGTGTGTGTGTGTGATATCCAGTGGGTCAGGTTCTCTCAGGACTTCTGTGTAGATCTTTTAAAGAAACACAAATAAGCCATTAGTCTGGGTCTCAGGCCCTGCTGCTGTAGTCTAGTGCTGCTAATGGCCTATAAAACACGGATGCTGTCTGACAGAACCTCAGTGTGTGTGTGTGTGTGTGTGTGTTGGTGCTATACAAATGGCCCTAGAGACAGCAAGAGAGCTCTTCTAGCTTCACCGTTGTTGGCAATATCAGGGTCACTGACCTCCCGCCAATACTGCAACTCCTCTATTAGACACAGTGTGACAGTTAATGCTTCATTTGCTCCTGCAGCTTTATGCAGCGCTTAGTAACACACTGAGTGGTTATTTGGGAGAAGAGGAAAGAATCCTGGTATCAGAATGCAACTAAATAAGATTATCATGTGGACTCAAGGTGTGACAAGAGCTCCCACTGCCTGTACCACCCTTACTGAAACACAACAAAATCCAGATTTTTTTTTTTGTTTCCAAATCTTATCAATTCATTCTTGAGTCAAAGTGGAAGTTTGTGCTAAATTTGAAGAAATGCCCTCCAGGTGATGCTGAGAAAATGGGATGTTCATACAAACAACCCAAAAACATAATGCATCCAACCACTACTGTTACCAACATGGCAGCAACATAAAGTCAATTTTTTACTGATCATTTTTGTGATACATTCATGATACTGTGATGCTATGGTATTCAAGTGCGCAGGAAGGTGGGTGCTGAGAGTGCTGCTGCACTCTCTATTGACCAGGGGTGGAAAATATGTCTGTGATTGGCTAGTTGTTTTATCATAACTCATGGCCTATCTGAACATTTGTTTTACATTTTGAACACTATATAAGGCGCCTGTCAGAAAATATATGAAAAAAAAAAAGATGTCTAAAACGTGTGAATTGAGTTAATTCGTCCAATCTGACAACATCATCACGTCAGGTCAAAGTGCAAGGGTCAGAGTCAGCTTATGGGGCAGCTAACATTAAACTTGGGGAGAGATTTGTGTTACTGGGAGCTACTCAATAGTGCAGTCAGGCTGAACAGCTTGAGAAAGATCAGAAAATAGCCTGGACAGTTTTGGAGCTGCTTTTTAGATCTATAAAATATATTGGACACAAGGGACTCCCACTGCAGGGGCAAATCTATCGGGATGGAGTTTCATAGCAGCTAATGATGGAGCGAAAGATGAGTGGATGAGCTGTTTTCCTGTAGCTTCTCAACCCAATCAAATGTAACATTTTTATTTTTTTTTACGTAAGGGATATGCTGAAACTAGATATGCTGTGGTTAACGTGTGGTTGGGGTTAGGCACAAAACCACTTGGTTATGGTCAGGAAAAGATGATGTTTTGGCTTAAATTACCAGTATTAGGTGGCACGTTCACTGTTGGAAATGCCACTGATATCTCACTAAAAACACCTGGTTAGATGACACAATGGCACTGGAAGTTCTGAAGTTCTGGCAATGTCTTGCTAAAAAAAAGCACCCAGTTTGGGTGGCACAATACCCGCTGCAAATGCCACTGATGTCTCACTAAAAAACAACCAGTTTTGTTGTTTGCTGGTCTTCAACAGTGGTCTGCAGATGCCAACTGTCTCGTGCATGCACATAGTCACGTATGCAAATTTACACTGTGCAGTGCCCCTCAGCGAAAATGAGTACCAGAGCACACAGTTGTATTATTTTTTCCTCAATCATATATTGAATATTTGACATTAAACACTCCTAATGTACAAAAATTAGTCGTATATCAGACTCAGGTAAAGATATTGTGGAATAATGGCGTCCTGAGCTGAGAATGAAGTCACACTACTTCTAAGTGGGTTGTAATCTGAGCTTCTCTGTCCTTTGTTTTGGTAGCCGGCCCTGCCAAGTGTGCATGTCAGTGCATGTGAGTCCCACTGTGTCTCACTGGCTAGCTAATCTCGGCCACTTTGTCCTGCACCTATACAATAGTTACCACTGATGATGGCGACTCGAGCCGACGGGTGGGACAGCGTTGTTTAGAAGCATAACACCTACCCTACCCCATCCCCCCAAAATTAACACTTAGCTCTGTCAGCACTGTTACTGTTGATAGCATTGTTAGAACCATTAGTGCAGCCAGAAACAAGGTGTTATTCATCCTGTATGCCTAAATTTAGTGGATCATAAGCCATCAGGTATGGAACTAATCTGCAGATGCTCCGGTTCAAAATGAGAACAAACTTTTCCATGGATGTCAGTTTTTGAGCCATGACATAGGCCATGACAAGACTAGATATGAGACTTGGTAAGGCTTGTTTTCAGCCTGGCCACTTACCATAAATGCCTGTTACTATGTGATATGATCAATTGTGGTCCTTAACGAGCAGTTAGGAAAAGTCAGCAGTCAATGATGGTATGAAACAGTCTTCATCATGCCTCATCTTGTCTTGTTTTGTAAGGTTTTTGTAAGGTTGTAAGGAGCTCCTTCATCCAGCTATACATCTAATGATGATGAATTATATAAATGCAGATACATACATCCTTTAAAATGATAAATTCTGAAAGTTGACAGGAAAACTGGATTTTTTTTTACTTCAAATTTCTCTTGTAAGTAAAATACGTGTAACAGCCATCATTGTGAAGCATCAGTATTACAACGAGAAAGCAGCACACATATCTTAGGTAAGTCATCTGGATGGCAAAATAATCTAAAAAGATACTCATTACATGTTTGTTGGCCTGATTTCAGATGGAAATGTCATTAGGGTTGCTGAGGAAAATTAGACATGTTCATTAGAGATGGAATAATATTCCTGGGGTCCTCAGCTTCTTTCATAATGAGCATCGTCAGACCTCCTCCAGTGAAAATAACGATGTTTAGAGAGAATTTACGTCAACAGTCCTCATGACGACCTGTGTTAACAGCTAACGAGCTAGCCAGTGTCCATTACCTTCACTAAGGAAAACTAAAAATGCCAACAAATCTCTTAGTGAAGCTGACTAGATTTCATAATTCTTCAACAGAGGAGACACATAGAGCCGGCAGATGCTAATGCGTGTCATAGCTGGTGATAGGCGTTACATTGACCGGGACAGCAATCCTTTTTTAAGCGTTTTATCTTCCAGCTCCTTCAGCTGAATACCAATAGATTTAGCTTTGACAACTCAACATGAATCAGTTCAACATCTGTTTTAGCTTGCTCTGTTTTTTTAATGAGTGTGGGCAGGCAAGTCAGAAATAGAAACAGCTCAGTGAATGTAGCCACCTCTCTGTGTGTCTCTCTCTGTTAGCTAGGTGCCTCTGTTGTGACAAACCCTGTAAAACAAGCCAAGTATACAGAGGGTTGTGCAGTAATTTTGTTATGTAATTGTTTTATTTCTTTTTTTTTTTTTTTTTTTTTTTTTTTTACTGTGCCTGAAAATGAATTACACAACATTTACAGTCTCTTCATCTGTATCTCTGTTTCCTAAGTTATTTCTGTTCTGAATTAAGACTCTTTGGTAGCTGTTGAGAAGCTTGTGTGTATGTTGTGCAGATGAATGATAGTGCCTCATTAAAATGATAACTTCACTTTAACTTTTTGTGTATTTATTCTCTAAATATTCCTAAACATGTATGCTTTCACTTAAATAGTTTGCCTTCTTAGTCTGATAATCATTTCAAATGGACATTTTGTTTTGGTTCCAAGGTCGGGGACCAGGTAACTGTTTTTTTTATATATGAACTCACACCCATTAGCTACATAATATACATAAAAGGCTTTTAACCTCTACTGCATCAAAAAGTGATGGGTTTTTCATTTGTGCAGACATCAGCAGTGAACAGTCATTCTAATTTCTTGTTGATTATATACCTAATTTCCAGTTGTGCTAGTGGCTATTGGTTGATTTGGTCCACCACTTTAGTCTAGACTAGAAATTTTTAGGACTGGCCCAACTATTAGATGGATTATCATTACATTAGATATAGACTTATAAATTAAACATATCCATCCTCTCCAGAAGATGAAGGCTGACCACCATGTGACTGGGCGTTTTGGCTTTTAGTGAAATGTTTTGACAGCTATTGAATGGATTGGCACAAAACCTTTAACATACATTCATGGTCCTCAGAGGATGAAATGTATGACATTTGTGTGCATTGTCTAGATAACTTTTGGATGGACTGCTATGACATTATGCTAACATATTCAGGTCCAATTTTGTAATATAGCCAATACTTTTGTGACCATATGCTATAGTGACATACCAACCCAATCACCAGAAAAATGTTGGCATTGTACATTTTTGCAAACCATGGATATATTGGATATATATAAAACATACGTTATCATGTAGTGGATACATTGAAACCACAATGTGGTTAACATGTGGTTAGGTTTAGGTACAACAACCACTTGGTTAAGGTTATGTAACCCATGCTTGGGTTTAAAAAATCCAGTCTGGGTAGCAGAATCACGGCTGGAGAAGCCGCTGATGTCTCTGTAAAAATAGCTGCTTTTCGTGGCACTATCCCCAGTGGAAAAACAGTGACGGATTGCTACAAAACCAGTTTTGCTTTTTTTTGGTCTGCAGCTTGGCAGGCATCTTGTTTAGGTTACACGTGATCCACTATCTCCTCCTTCTCCTCCTGCTGACAAAGTCAACTCATAAACTATGTCTCTTTAGAAAGGTTGATATGACATGAATGAAATGTAAAAAAACGTAGAAAAGTGTAACATTTTCGTGGTAGAAATGTACAATGCCAACATTTTCTTTTGGCGACTGGCCTGGACATACCCATCGGCTTCAAATGTACCTTGCCATGTTAGCAAATGCTAGCATGCTGAAATGCTAAACTAAGATATTGAACATGATTAACATTTTGCTAAACAAAAGCATGCTCACATTGTCATTGTTACCAAGATGACATTAGCTTGTAGGTCAAAACACCACTGAGTCAAGTTAACACCTATCAAAGAGATTAGCATGGCTGAAGACTTCTTGGATGACTGCATGACATGACTGTTTCTTATAAACCCCAGTTTACAACATTCACAGGAATTTACTGTAACAATACACAAAGTGGTCCGTACCTCTATGAGTGGGTGCCAGTGTGCAATGGGCTTCCGTGGGTATGTCATCATCTCATTCCAGTGGTCTCGCCCCAGGCTCTCTGCCTCATTGCCCACCCTGCATACCCCGATGACTTCATTATGTCCAACCCTGCATGACAGAGAAAACAACACATGGAGACCCAAAAATGTTGCATTTGTAAATACACTCTAGATGAAACTGATATAGGTAGGTAGAGATGACAGGTGATTTGGGGCAGAAAATGTTTTACTGGGTGACTACATCAATATAATTCTGGATGAATGCATGACAAAAAACTCACTTGGTTGCTGCTGTTTTAATGATTTTACAATTTAAGGTCAGTGGCTGGATAGAATGGTTTTTAAATGATGTTTTAATTGTGTTTGGTTTAAGACGCCACTATGTGGAGATAGCCCCATGCTCGCAGTGTCAAAGTGCGGCAAAACAGCAATATGCATGCTCAAAACCTTTGGCAATCAAAGCAAATTGATTGACTGATTATGACAATTTTCCTGATTTTACATATTTCCTAAAGATCTGTTGCCCCACCTTTTTTTCCACCCAAAACACAGCACTTTTCGTATAGGTAACTCACTAACCGATCATAGTCCATGACAGCTATGAGCAGGCTGATCTGGTCGATGTTCTCAGGAGGAACATCAAACACAATGGCTTCATTGTACACTGGGTTCAAAGTGTTTCGCTTGGTTGATGTCTTCCTCTTCTTTAGCCTACGGCCATCACACATCAGGGACACTTTCACATATGGATCTGGAGAAGGGTTTCGTGACAGACTCCATTAGGGTGCAAAAATATCTTGATATGGCATGCCATTTAACAAAAATTCTATATCGACCAATAATTATAAAGCACTGGAACACCTTATGTGTATATTTGACTACAGCACCTCTCAGTGGAAACATTGCTTTGCAGTCAGCACCCACCTGAAGCCCCAGTGATGTCCATGGCTTTGAGATTTCTGGCTTTGATCATGGTGATGGTGAGCCTGCCAGCCGTAGGGAGATAGCACAATGAGAACATCAGTTCTCCTAGGTCCACATTGTCCTGTAAAGAAATATATTACATTTTTTTATATTAATAACGCCATTCTCCTGTTATCAACATTTTAAAGACAAGAATTAATGCCTCTTTTTTAATGTTGGTCTTTGGGGAAAATGGGATTCAGGGGATTTTATAGTTGAAGCATTGTTTGCCACTGGGGCATTAATGCTAAGGGGCAGTGCCACATCCAGCTCTCTTAATACATCCATTTAGCTTGCAAGTTAACAATGAGTGTTAGACGTTGGATTGGTATTGTTAAGCCTGAGAAAAACAACTTTAGTTATGAATTAAGGTTATTCAATTAAATCAAAATTGGCTAAAGCCCCCCTCTCTAGTGTATTTTGGCATTTTTTAAGCATAATTCATATTTTTCTGAGTCATTTCCTGACAATGTTCATTAGCCTCTCTGTTCATCAAATATTCGATATTTAATATTTGGAACTTGTGTGATGTTTTTATGTTCTCCCCAAGTCAGCGTGGGTTTTCTCCGGATACTCCGGCTTCCTCCCACAGTCCAAAGACATGCAGGTTAACTGGTGACTCTAAATTGCCTGTCTGTGTGAATGTGAGTGTGAATGGTTGTCTGCCTCAGTCTGGCAACGTGGGTGTAGCCCGGCCAATGTCAGCTGGGCTAGGCTCCAGCCCCCCTCAGCAGGAAAGGTTACGGAAAATGAATGAATGGTCCGTCTGTTAGTTTGTCTTTCTAGTTAGTCCACTAACTTAGTTTGATGTTGCATTAGTTAGCTAGCTTAACATATTCCAATAGGGAACTGAGGGTCTTCCCTTTATTTTTTAGTTTCGGCCACATTAGTTAGGTGTGTTGTTTATTTTCATAATGGTGTTCATGTGCGGTGGACGGCGAGAGTGGCTACTGCTAATTGGCAGTGCACCTACTAAGCGTCCCATATCAGGCTGTTCTCATCAAAAGTAATGCACAATTCATATGTGATCCATGTAAGAATCAGACATTATATAAAACCCACATAACTGAGAAGGCTGCGATCATGTGACTGATGCGCTGACTGGAGTGTTGAAATAGTATAAAGACCAAAAGTCCATGGGGTGGAGGATGGGTCATAAAACACAGGATGTACCCCCAGCAGACTGGTGTTAAGAACTGTATTAAACTAAATGAAATTTTAGTTATTTCACCATGTTTCTTTTCCTAAACCTCACCAAAGTAACGTCATGCTAAGTATGTAATGTCATTAAATTCATCAGATATCATTCTAACCACTGTATGAGGATACGTTGCTCATAACTGCAACTGTACCTGTATTTAAAGGTACCATAGTTGCAATCAGGTTGCCATGGCAATTAATTTATTATTATCTGTTAACCACACCCCTATTGTCAGTTTGAGAAAGAATGTTAACCGTTAAACAGGAAGTAACACTGGCTGCAGGGGACTTTAACATTTGGTGAGGTAACAATTGAGTCAAATCCCTGATCTCTGATTCAACAGAAGGCACATTATAATATGTTACACAGTCTTTGCACCTCAGATATGGATCATGACTGTGACACCTCCACATGGAATCCTTTTAATCACATCTGCAACACGCAGATATGTAACCTGGCTTTGTATATTTGTTGCATCTTTAAAGCATTATGTTGTTAAACTTATGGAATCTGCAATCAGATTGGACTACTCCTGGTTTCCTGTGAGAATATCCCTCCTTTCACAACTCATCCACAGTCAACACATGCCAAGCTCTTCTCCCAATTAACACATCTGAAAATAATGTGTGAAGGTGTGAGAGTGAGTGGTGCGTTCATGAGACACAAGCACTAACAAGGTTTCTTACAAGGCTAACTCTGAATTCTAGTTTTAAGCTTTCTCCCACACATCGGGCCGACACAGAGGTCCCTGTTACAAAATTTTAAACAGGCAGTGAAAAAAGTAAAAATTCTACTAAATTTGAGATACTTAATCAAAATAAGATATTGTGATGACATTTGGCAGATGTGGTTTCAGCTTTTTCAACAACTGCAAATGCAAGTCATTAACCTTTGAACTCTGCAACAATAATGGTCTGCAAGTGCCTACACTGGTATGTTTGCTTATTGTGATGTCATTTCTTGGATTATCTTCAGACGCTTCATTTCCCTAAAATCTGTACAACATGAGCTAAAGGTTATGTAACTCAATAAATCAATTAATTAATTAAACACAATATATTTTTTACTAAAATCTGACACTTTTCTCATCAGATTTTACAAATAAAAAAACAAAACATCCAAAAATCCAAAAGATTTCTAGATGTACAGATAAGAACAAAATATTTCTTAACATGTAAGTTATTTATCTACATTATTTAGGTTTTGAGAGTGAAAAGGTGTTGTGATGGATTCATCATCGGTTCCTCACGCAGTTTTGCACCACATAATGTAGTGCGATGACATTAAGCATACAACATGATGACACGGAAGAAAGAACCCTGAGCTTTCTGCTGCAAATAGAATGAATGTTCTAGCTATCATGGTTTTTATTCAAGATCAGTACAAGATTATACAAACCGCAATCTCCTACTGCCATTACAGGAAATTCCCAGGGAGACTTTGGCGTAATTACAGCGAAATTCTACATTTGCACCACATGTTAAGTAAGGTAATGTAGAGTTGTAAGTTTTTATTTTAGATTCATATATTTGCAGGATTATGCAAACAGCCATCTCCCATGGCCGTTACAGGGAAAAGCCAGTGTAATCATGGCAAAATACCACATTTGCATTGCACATACTGTAAGGTAATGTTACGTGAGCTCATGATGTGATGACGGGGACAACAGAAGTCTTTGCTTGCTGTTGCTAAAAGAATAAATATTCTGGCTATAATGTTTCTTATTTTAGTTCTATCTAAACAGAACCATGGAAACAATAACTGCAGGAGGTCAGTTTTTAAAGGTAAAATGAGATTACAGCTCCTCTAACATGACAAAAACTCACTATTCTGCATTTGGCTGCTTTATGTTTTAATATACACAGCTATCTGATGTGTTTTAATGCAGTCTGTCCATTCAATGATCGATGCACAGGATGTTAGTGATTTGGTACTTAGTCTTTGTCAGAAGCAACAAATTAGATAGAAAGCCTAGTTAAAGGTCAGATGTACAGGTTATACTGGAAAATCAATGTTTGACTTGGACGTCAATATGTGCCCCTTCTGATGCTGATGAAGAATAACTGGATTTGTTCTTTATGGGCGCACACACACTCACACACAAATTAGGATGCTACTGCTCTTGGTCTTTGGCTCAAAAATCGCTGAAAATTAAATTGAACAAAATGAGCTGATTCATCTCTGATGTCAGCATCTGCATGCCTGCAAGCACATAAACACACATTCATTCACACATGTGCATACACACAAGCAGAGCTGTCTAGGATCTGTGACATTCTGACTGCATGATGAGACCTCTGACACGGCATCATCATTGTTACGATGAGCCTCGGGTGTTAATGATGTACAGCTTATGATATCCCCAAGGTGAAACATATGAATCCTGCCACATGAATTCACACATTGACATAAACAAATAGGCAGGTACTCCCACAAAGGGTTGCAAACAGCTCTCCACAGATAGTGATATCCTCTTCCCACACACACACACACACACAGACACACACACATGCGCACGCACTCACGCAGCACACTTTAGTTTTCAGACTACAGAGTACCGCTACTCTTCTGAGCACTCAAATCAAGCCTGCGGTCAGGATTATGGTCACTTGTGCTCAGCCAATGAAATTAGAAAGGTGCTCTAAAGCACTCCAATAAAGCATAAAGAGAGCGTGGACAGTCCATCTTCTCCAATTATAATACTAGCACCTTCTCTCCCTCAGGAGCAGCGAGCCTTTATCTACCAGCTTCTCTCTTGATGTGTCTTTAATAATCACTGACTCAATCTAACTTGATCCCTCTCCTCTGTCTTAATCTTTTTTGTCCTCCTTTCTGTAGCTTTCAGTGTGTGTGTGTGTGTGCAGAGCTTCTTTAAGGGCTTCTTGAAACCTTTAACAAATTAGACCATGGCAGACAGTGTGTGACAGTGTCTTTTCCAGTCTTCATAAATCCTGGTCCACCCTTGCACCCAGTCCCCTCCTGACAGAGAAGTCTAAGTATGTTGTTATGCTGTCGAAGGTAAGCAGCACAAACACCACAAAGCAGTTTGTAACACAGGCATTATACTGAAAATTTCTAGTCTCAAAGCTAGTGATGTCAATGGTTAACCGTCAACCAGTTACCTGCCGAGAATATTTTTTGACCGGTTACACTGCTCTTCAGATTACACACAAACACTGGGCACCAACCAGGTCTGGTGGGAACCAGTTAACAGCATGGCTCATTCCATGATACGACATCTGGACCCAACAAGGTTGCTGTGAAACATTTTGGGGTTTTTTTTTTTCAAAATGAATCGGTTAGTTACTTGTTAATGTCGGTTCACCAGTTGGTTACTGGTTAATGGGTGTTGGGCTATCAAAAGCAAAATCAACCAAAACGGACATCCCTGTCCAAGTCCGAGCTGAAATAACCCTGATGACATCTCTACGACTTCATGGGGGTTATTTTTTAAAAGGAATTGGGACACATATATTTTATACAACTGTTGTTACAGGCTGAGTAGTATTTTTCATGACCAATTTTATGAACTTCATGGGTAAAATCTGTGTACTGCACCTTTATTTCACAGTACTACACATTGAATGTAAGCAAGACAGAATACTGTGCTTGCAGTATTCTCATTTTCTCAGTAATTTCTACATTCCTACAGCACAAAAGCAGGAATATTTAAAAAAAAAGAGGACTCATTTAAACCTTAGTCACCTACTGTAACACAATGCAAAACACATTTCCAGAATATAATCACTCATCAAGTCATTCACTGTCCAGTCAGATGTTTACCCACCATTATAAGTTTGTAGGTATAAAGTTTTTTTTTCTACTGTATACAATCTACACAGCAGTAAATGTTTTTAATTAAAACACAGTTAGGCTAACAC